GAGGCCGACCGGGCGCCCCCGCTGGGCGGCCGCCTGCTGCTGGTGAGCGCTGCTGAGCCATTTGGCCCCCGCCCCACCGTAGACCCCGCACCCGGATCCCGCCTTCATCCTGGGCCAAGCCCTGGCAGCCCAGCGCCCCCTCCGCAGGCTCTCAGGCCCCCAGCATTCCGACTTCCAACACCTGAGATAAGATGCCCTCCCCCTCCAAACCCTGGCCTTGCATCCCCTCTGTGTGCCCGATCCCCCCTCCTCCCACTACCTACAGCCCCTCACCCCACAGGTGGACACCGTGGATGCCGAGCAGGAGGTTCCCGTAGAAGGCTGGATTGCAGTGGCATACGTGGGCAAGGAGCAGGCGGCCCAGATTCACCAGGAGAGTCAGGGCAGCGGCCCACAGGCCTATCCCAAGGCCCTGGTCCAGCAGGTGCAGGGGTTGTAGGTGGAAAGTGGGCTGGAGGAAGGGTTTTCAAGACAATTGCTAGAGCCACACTGCCAGGTGGGCCCCTCAGGAGCTTCTAGAGAAGCCCTGGGCCCGGGTGGGTCAAGGGACCGCGGTTTGTAGAATCAAGTCAGTGTATTGGCAGCAGGGTGGTGGGAGGAGGCCAGAGACTGTCAGGAAGCTCCACCAGACTCTGAGAGTATCTGATGAGGAGTTCCTGCTGGGGTTCAGGGGGCCCGCCTGCCCTACTTAGGCCAGAGAAGGCTGTACAGTATTGTTTGGGTCCCACAGAGCATCTCAGGGTAGGGGAGCAAGGTGGGAGGAACAAAGGTTTCTGCCTTTCACCTCAAGGAGCTTATAACTAGTCTGTCCAGAGGAAATGCTCATTGCAGAGCCAGGAGCTAAAAACAACTGTGGCCACAGAGTGTGAGACGGGTGTATGGGCAGGATGGGTGCTAGCCTCTGCCTCTGTCCTGCAGATGCGGAGGGCGCTCTTCCTGGGAGCCTCTGCCCTGCTCCTCCTCATCCTGAACCACAACGTGGTCCGAGAGGTAAACCGGATCTGGCTCTGGGGGCATGAAGGCTGGGGAATGGTCGACCAGGGCTGGCTGACCTCCATGTCCCCTTACAGCTGGACATCTCTCAGCTTCTTCTCAGGCCGGTGATTGTCCTCCATTATTCTTCCAACGCCACCAAGCTGTTGGAGGCTCTGCTACAGTGAGTTGGGGTTTGGACTCGGGTGCTAAGGTCCCTGGCTTTGCCATGGGCTCAGGGGTCTTGGTACCAGGTCATTCCTGTTAGTCTGAAGACTGAAGCCTCTTGGCCTGCCTGCAAAATGGGTGAGGAGACTAGACGGAGGTGCCGGGGCCTGGAGTGAGCAGAGGTGATTGGCTCCAATGAAGAGGAAGCCAGATTCTTGATTGACAGGCTCTTCCCTGTGCTTTCGGGCTCCTTGGCCTGGCTGTTAGGAAAACTGGAAAAACCAATAGCCAGGAAAGGCCTGGGGCCAAAGCAGAAGGGCTGCGGGGTGGTACAGGTGTCCTTTTCCCACAAGGCTGGGGTGGTGGGTGGATCTGGGCCTCCCCTCCCAAGAGCCCTTCCATCTGGCCCCTCTGGCTTTCCTTCCCAGGAGGACCCAGGCCACAGCTGAGATCACCAGTGGAGAGTCCCTGTCTGCCAACATTGAGTGGAAGCTGACCCTGTGGACCACCTGTGGCCTCTCCAAGGACGGCTACGGAGGATGGCAAGACTTGGTGTGCCTGGGAGGCAGTCGGGCCCAGGAGCAGGTGGGTGCCTGGGAAGAGGAGCTGGGGTGGGGGCGGGAGTGGGGCACACACATGCCTGTGACCTCTTCCTGCCCTGGGAACGAGAGTGACCTCTTGCACCTCCCAGGGCTACTGTGAGTGTTCAAGGACCTGGTGGGGCTCAGTGTGGACCCCGACCCAGGGTCACACACAATCAGTGTCAGCTGCTGCTGTTGTCGTGTCACTCTCCTGCTCCGAAGCCTTCTTTGGCTCCCCGTTGCCTGCAGAATGAAGTTCAAACTCCTTACTTGGCTTTCACAGCTCTCCTGTTCTCTCACTTACCCTGTTTTTTTCCTAATCTCCAGCCCTGGGCTCATGGGGCTGCATCTGGGGAGGAGATAGGCCAGAGACACTGTCACTCGGCTAGGGTGATCACTGAGAGCTGCTGGTGGGCACAGGTTCCCCAGGGCATGGTGAGGGCACCTGAGCTCAGCCCAGGGGCCTCCTGAGCAGGCGCCACCGTCCCACCATGAAGGAAGGGGAGACAGGGACACAGAAACTAGTGGGAGAGGGTAGGATAGAGCAGGGAACTAGGGTCACCAGAGTGCCTCTGCCCTGAGCAAAAGCAACATCTTGTGACATTAGCACCACCCGCCTGCCCAGGGTGATGACCTCTTTTAACATCAAGTCATTTCTCCTCTCCTCCCCCCACGTGATGGTAGCTGAACTTGAGCATTGGCTGGGGAAGAACATGATGACAGAAAGCTTTTAAACAAATGCATTTATTAATCGTAACAATTAGGCCCTCATGCCTGTGCTGAGTGGCTGGATCTTGCTCACTTTGCCATGTCGTTTCCCAGGCTGCTGTGGAGGAGTCCCAGCCTGGCCCACTGCACTGCTCATGGTGGGAGTTAAGTCAGGGTCCGTGTGGTCCCCAGGAACCGTGAGGCCCCCCAGGGGCCTATCAGATGTGGTTCTCTCCCACCAACGGGAGCTTGAGGACCACTGAGGGCAAAGGAGGTGTGAGGAGGGTGGCAGCGGAGCCTGAGGGAGCATCTGCCCAGCGGTGGTGGTTGGCGAGAACTTCCAGAGCAAGAGGTGTCTAAAGGCAAAAGCCAATGGAAAGAGCGAGGAAGAATCGAGTTAGTTCCCCAAACCAGGACCGGTGTGGAAAGGCACGGATGTGGGGAGGGTGTGGCGGGGGTATGGGATGCTGGGGGTGGCAGGGGAGATCAAGGGCCTTGAGGGTGGGCTGGTAGAAGAGTTTGGCTTTCCTCCTGAGGGGGTTGTCGGGGAAGGGAGAGGAGCATCACAGGGAAGGGTCATGCCGGGGTGCTGGGTGATCAGGATTGCAGGTGAGATCCCTGTGGTTATGGGTGGGAAATGGGCGGGTGAGGCTGTGACAGGGGATCTGAAGAGCAGCAGTGGGATGGGGAGAAGGGGCACATGAGAGCCCTAGGGAGCCAGGCACCAGGCCTGAGGACAGGTGTCCCGTCAGAAGGCATCTGAATGCTCAGCCTGGATGGGGGTGGGGGGTGACGGCTGCCAAGAAAGCAGACCAGGAGACATGGGGGTAGGAAGGCGCAGGGACCTGGGCTGGGGTGTCTGTGAGGCAGCCAGATAGATGCTTCCCTGAGTGTACAAGCACCAGGTTTGTTGCCCAGGAGAGGCCTGGCCTGGGGACGGGTGTGAGTTGTCTCCCACAGCTGGGGCAGCCCCTGGGAGTGCCTGGAGTGGTGGGGGGATGCAGGGGGGGCGAGGAAGGCCTCGGGGAGGCACAATGGCTTCAGAAGAGGAAGCCAGGAGCCGCCAGGGTCATGGTGCCCATGGACCTCACCTGCCTGGTCCTCCAGGTGGATTTATTGGGGAAAGAGGTTGGGGCAGCCCCCATGTCCCTGACACCCTGTTCCCCTTCTCCAGAAGCCTTTGCAGCAGCTGTGGAATGCCATCCTGCTAGTGGCCATGCTCCTGTGCACAGGCCTCGTGGTCCAGGCTCAGCGGCAGGCGTCCCGGCAGAGCCAGCGGGAACCCGGAGGCCAGGTGGGAGCCAGCCCTGGTGCCCCCACCCCTTGGGAGCCCAGTGCCCCGAGTCCTTAGGAACTGTGCCTGCCCTTCCCACACAGGTGGACCTGCTCAAGCGCCGGGTGGTGCGGAGGCTGGCATCCCTCAAGACCCGGCGTTGCCGGCTGGGCAGGGCGGCGCAGGGCCCCCTGGAGCCTGGGGCCGACACCTGTGCCGTGTGCCTGGACTACTTCTGCAACAAGCAGGTTAGTACCCTGGGCAGAGGCCCCCACACCCTGCACCCCAGACACCTGGGAACGACCCTGACCAGGCCTTCTCCCAGCCCTACCAGAGCAGAATGGGGGTGGGGGCAGGCCACAGGGGTTTCAGTTCCCCAGCTCAGATGAAGGGCACAGGGCCAGGCACCCCCACTTGGAGGCCTGAGCCCTCCCCCCAAACCCCACAGTGGCTCCGGGTGCTGCCCTGTAAGCATGAGTTTCACCGAGACTGTGTGGATCCCTGGCTGATGCTCCAGCAGACCTGCCCACTGTGCAAATTCAACGTCCTTGGTGAGCACCAAGCATGGGACCCTGGGCTGGTGCCACCTGGTCCTCACCTGACGCCTCCCTCCCTGTTATTTTTCCTCCTCTCCTGCAGGGAACCACTACTCAGATGACTAGCTGCCAGAGCTGGGTCTCTGCCCTTGGGAAAGGGACCCCCTGCCTGCACCCTGGCCCTCAACCTGGGTGCCTTGAACAGGACAGCAGAGGGGAAGGACAGAAAGCCCTGCGGGTGGGCGGGAGGAGGAACAGAGGCTGCCTCCGCTAAGGGACATGGCACCCCACCACATCCTCACGGGGAAGGAGGGGCCACGGCGCCCAGGCTGCGGATGCAGGGCCTGGACCCAGCAGGAAGAGAGGCTGCTTTGGGGCCCTTCTTTGCCATCCTGGGGTGTCTGTGTGGTCCTCTTCAGACAGCTCCCGGGACCCCGGGCAGGGGTCTAGGGAAGAGGATGTGGGCAATGTAGCTGTTCCCAGGGCTCTGGGAGCTCCCTGGTCTGTCAGGGTGTCCTTGGGAGCTGAGGCTGCAGGGGCCGGGTTTTGTGCTTATTTATTGGGGGGTGGGCTGCGGGAGGAGCCTCCTGGCCTTGGGGGTGCCCTAGCCTGACCATCTTTCGGAACACATCTTGGTCAAGGCTATGATACTAACCCTAGAGGCCCTCCCACTGCCTGCTGCCCTCGGTCCTTGGGCACTGGGAGCCGGAGGTCCCACAGCCTGTCCAGCCGGGCTCCCTTCCTGGGCCCTCCTGGGCCCAGAGGCCTTAGAAACCATCTAGTCCTGTGCTTCTCAGAGGGGCTACAGGTTGCTGACCAGGATACTTGAAGCCACAGGATAAATGTGGTACATCTTCCAGGGGCATCCTTCTTTTTTAGATTTAGGCTAGGGAAAGTTTAATATTAAAATAAACATGGATATATTTTAACATAAGATGTAAAACTTGTGTGGATGCTTTAAGAGAAACAAGTCACCTTGGGGTCTACTGCCTGTGTGAGGTAGATTCTGGAATCCCTGAGTCCCCCAGCCTTGTGTAGTCCTGGAACTGGGACTCGGGTGGGTTTTACTCCAGTGACTAGGTTACGTTATAGGGCACAGCTGACCTTAATATGGGGAAAGTATCCAAGTGGGCCTGACCTAACCACATGAGCCCATCAAAAACCGAGTTTGCTCCAGCTGGTGAAAGAAGAGGAAGTCAGAAGTTTTAAGCATGGAGGGGATTCAGTTCATGAGAAATTCTCTGTTGCTGACTTGAAGATGGAGGGGGCCACGTGGCAAGGGAGGCGGACAGCCTCTAAGAGCCAAGAGTGGCCCTGGCTGACAGTGGCCAGCAAGGAAACGGACCTTAGTTCTGCAGCTGCAAAAACTGGAATTCTGCCAACAGTCAGGATGAGCCTGGCTTCTTCCCTAGTCCTCTGCGAGAGGAATGCAACCTGGCAGATGCTCTGACTTCCACCTTCTAAGGCCCTGAGCAGAGAACCCAGCCACACAGGGCCTGGACGTCTGACCTACAGACCTGTGAGCTATGAAATGGATGCAGAGAGGAGCTGGGCTGTAACTGGTCCTCCCCCTGCACTTGGGCCCAGGTCCCCTGCCTTGGAGCCCACCTGAGGGCTGGCGCTCATCCGAGAGGGAACCGGTCCAGACATCCCAGGCCCCCTCAGCGAGCCCCCGGCTTGCACAGAAGCAGGAGTTGGGCCGTGCCCGTCAGCTGCACACACAGCCCCTCTGGACCTTTCTCTGTAAACTGAGGCGCTCTACTTGCTGGCTTCCTGACCAGGGAAAACCGTCACAGAAAGCCAAGAGCACCCCCTACCCCGACCCCCACCAGTCCTCTGTAAGGTCTTAGCACCTATCCTTCACAGATGAAGTGGTCAGGGCTCCCTCAGCCTCCCTGGAGGCTTCAGGAGGAAGACTGGACCACCACGGGCCTGGTGGCTGGCAGCATCAGTACACCGGCCACAAGGTACAGGTCTGCGAAGGCCTGTCCCACTCTCTGGTAGGGTGAAGCCTTGCCTTGCCTCCCAGGGATCCAGCCTCCTAGATTTAGAGAAACCCTTTGTGACTCACCTTCTGGAAGGTGAGGTGTTCCTCAGTGAAAGGAAGGCTTGACTTTCTTGGGTCCTTAACGTCCCCATCCCCAGGTTCACAGCTGGGTGGCCCTTGCCTGCCTGCCTGCCTACCTTCTTGAGCTTGAGCAAGGACCCCAGCCTCTGACTCCATCCTTGCCTCAGACGTCCTCACCAGGCCTACCCTGGTGGCTGCTTTCCTTAACCTGTGTCCCTCTCACCCTGACCCTGCTCTTCAGTGGTGGGGATCACTGGGTCCGTGTTACCCCTTGGGCTTTGCTATGGGGATCAAAAGACTGACTTTCATGTGGCCCAGGTGCTAGAAGCTTCTTTCTGCCCTCGGTGTGCCCTCTTCTCTCACTGCCCCATCAGGAGGCAGGCAGGAAGCTCCCATTTACTGAGGGTACACAGTGTGCCAGGCCTCTGTTGGCTGATGACCCCCAGACTCAAGACGGGGAGGGGACTCTTTGCCCGCCTCAGCCAGTGACGTGAAGCCAAGGTCGATGTGGGCAGACCCAGGCTTTATTACATCAGGTGGGTTGCCAGCCACTTGCCCTCCATCCACACCCCACTGCAGGCTATGTGGGCCGCTCCTGTGACTGGTGTGCAGGGCTGGCCTGGCCCTGGCCTGGTGACAGTCTCCTCCTCAGCCTGGCCAAGGCCCGGATGGGGTTCTGGGCGCAGTTGATGGAGTGAGTTACATCCTCCGGGGAGGACCTGCTGGGCCGACTGCAGGGCTGTTGAGGCGGGGAGGCCCGGGGCTGGCCTGGCAGGGTCCTGTGGGCACTGGCTGTCCTGCTGTTAGGCGGGTGCCGCCTGCCCAGGGGCCTGAGGGAGGATCAGATGGCAAAATCCCTTGAGCAAGGGGGACAAGCCCCTCCCACGTGCCCCACCCCGCTGACAAAGCCCCATTTACCCTGGGGATGCTCTCTGGGCCTGGGCTGGGGTTGCTGCTCTCTGGAGTCCTCTGCTGGGAGAGGCCCAGAGCTGGTCCTGCGGGATCAGCTGCAAAGAAAACCAAGCTCAGATGTCCAGGAGCCCCTCCCCACTGTACAGAGAGGGTGTCATGGGCGCAGGTGGGAGGGCCTGAACCTAGAGTTGCAGCCTCTTCCTCTGAGGAGCAGGGTTTGGGAAGCCTTCCAGGGCCTGTCCTCAGCTGTGGTAAGTGTGGGAAGGTTTGCTTTCTGACAGGGCTCCTGGTTGCATTTGAAATAAAGATTAAAAGGGCTAGAAGGGAGCATTTGGAGCTAGAAGGCACCATAATATCCTAACACCTTCTTTAAACATGGAAGATGTTTCACAATAGCACAGCCTGAGGTCACCTGCTCTGACAGCCCGACTGCAATGAGCTGGGCTGACAGCAGGGTACCAGGAGAGCCTGCTGGGACGGGGGCCTCCTCCAGGTCCCCAGGGGCTGGCCCTTCTCAGGTAGGGGAGCCCTGCTGCCCACCTTGAGGCCCCCCTGCTGGGCCACCTCCCGAATCTTGGACAGCATCGACTGGAGCCGTCCATTCTCCTCCTGCAGGACCCGGATCCGGATGTCATTGGCCTGCACCTGCCTCTCCATGTCGTCTGTGACATCACCAGAGCCTGTGGGGACATGCTATCTGGCACCTCACCCCCTCAGGTCTGCCTCTTGTGCCCAATGGGACAGGACCTCAGGGAAGGCATGCCGGCGGGGGTTGGTGGCCCTGCAGGCACAGGGGAGGGGGCCAGGCTCAGCACACTGGGCCCCCCACCTTATCTTCCTTTCCCTGAGGCCTTGGCCCCGTCCCTAACCCCACTGGCTAGGAGGTGACCATAGCCCGACAGAATCTGAAAGCTGGGTAGGACCTGGTGCTCACTGAAGATTTAGCAAATAGGTAGGAAAGTGAATTTCTTCCAACGCTGCCTATTTTTGGAGGGCCAGACAGTGACTTGTCCAAAGTCACAGTTGGCTCTTGGGTGTGAGTTTCCAGGAATTCAGCACGGATGTTCTGTCTCACTGCTGGGGGAGAGGTGCTTGCCCCTGTTCTGTGAACCCGGGCAAGTTGCTGCCTACTCTGGTTCTCGGTTTCCTGGTTTGTGACAAGGGGTGGTTGACAAGAGTAACGCAAGGGCCTAGTGCTCAGAAGTGATGACTTACTGTGACCAGCTATGTCACAGCAGGTCATCCTGACAGCCCTGCACATGGATTCACCCCCAGAGCTTTAGGGGGCTAGAGGGTTGGGACAAGAGCCCAGGCTGCCTGGTGTCCAGTCCTCCGCTGAGATGGGGTCCCTAGCACTCCGCTGCCATGGTGTCCAGAACACTGGACAGTTGGGGCTGTGCCCTCGGAGCTGGCCCCACAGTGTGGTCTGGGGAGATGCCAGGACTGGGGACACAGAAGCTGAGCGAGGGCTGGCATGTGACGTGGTGAAGAGCGCAGGCTAAAGAGGCAGCCAGACCTGCATCTGGATTTGGCTGTGTGACCCTGAGCAGTCACCTCACCCCTGACCTCTGTGTCCCCATCCACACACAGCAGTGGAGAACACATGAAGCACCTGTGTGTCGTGGGGGCTCTGTAGGGACTGCACTGCTGGACCCTCACTCCATCACCCTTGCTGCAGGCTGGGGAGTTGCAGACCCCAGGGTCCTGCCCAGACCCCAGTGTGCCGCCCAGACCCCAGTGTGCCCTGTGCACCAGCCCCAGGCCCCTACTTTGAATTTGGGCCTCAACAGGCCGGTGCAGGTCCGGAAAGGCCACCAGCAGGCGCTCCCGCTCCCTCAGCTCCATGAGCTCCTGCTCCAGCTCCGAGATGGTCAGACGCAGGTCTGTGGTCGCCTGCTCCAGGCCTTGCTTCTCCCGCTGCAGGCTCTGCAGCAGCTCCTGGAGTGGGAGGCGCAGGGCTGAGGAATGGCTCCCAGCTGCCCTGGGGACACCCTGTCACCTCCACTCCCTGGACACAGGACAGGCTTGCAGGTGCTCAGCTGGCGGGAGGTTCCTCTGGAGAAAGGGTTCCCCTCACTCTGACCGCTCCCACCTGCTGGGCCCGGAGCTGGCACTGCCCCTGCTCCCTCTCGCTCTGCACACTCTGCAGCTGCTCCTCCACGTGGACCCGCCGGGCCTCGGCCTCGTCCAGACTGCCTCGCAGCTCCTCACGCTCCTGGTCCAGGCTGTCCAGCTGCTGTAGCAGGGCTCGCTGCTTGGCCTGCAGGGACTGAGCCAGGACAGGTGGGCAGGGAGGTGGTGAGACCCACGGGGCTAGGCCCAGCCATGTGGGACAAAGGAGGCTACCATGTCTTAAACCCTTCAAGCCCACCCCACATTATGCTGCATCTGTCCATGTACAGGGGAGGCTGTGCACACATGCAGTGGGAGGGGCAGAGGGAAAATGGAAGCAGACCCCAACCCCGGCAAGGCCAAGTCCCCCAGCTTGCAGAGCCCACCCTCTTGCAGAGCAATTGGCCAACTATTGGCCTCACCCCCACTTCTTTCCAGCCACAGTTGTCACTCAGAGAGGAATTCTTCTCCTTAGGTCTCCAGTGTCCCATCAGCCTGTCACTTGGAACCCACATTTCCTGACACCCACTGAGCGCACAAAGCGAAAAGAAGCAGCCCTGGTCTGTTCTGAGGCCTGGCTCCACCCCTGACTGGCTGTGCAGTCTTGGGCAATTTCCTTAACCTCACCGAGCCTCAGTTTCCTCACCTGTAAAATGGAGTGACAAGAGTATCTACCTCCTCCTGCCATGGCAGGGAGTAAGAATGAGAGGGCTGCAGCGGCTAAAGCCCGGTGCCTGGCTCACAGCAGACACCTGATGCTCGGCTGACAGTGCCTGTTTGCAGGACACAGAAAAGCGCTCACTGTGGGTGAAAGGCTCTCTCATCCTGGGCCATGCCTGGCCCTGG